AGAAATTCCAGGTCCTCTCTGGGGCCATGTCCCAGTATCTGAATGCTTCCATTGAGGAGTAATTTCTCCTCGTATATGGGTACGGAAATACACGATATCACAGTTTTACAAGTGCGCATGTGTCATCCTCAATTCGGTGGTCGCGCGGTCTCCCTCTAACGAGATACCATCCTCTTCATCAGGGTGGACTTTTAATCTTTGTCCTCAGGGCATGCGCTGTTTTGATATTCATGGGTTTTTTTCTAGTCCTCCAAGTCTTCATTTCTCAGCTGACTGTCCTGTGCCTCTGCCAAGTTCTCATTAGTGCTCTCTACTGTTCCTTGTTTATAGCATCTACCTGTCTACTTTCTTCAGAACTTTTTCTGATTTATACCCCTTGGTGATTTCACATATCTGCGTACTAATCCAGCTGGTTGGATTACATCCAGTTGGTACACTATAWGTTGCTAATACACTATTAAAAAACTTATAACAATATATAAGAAGGCTATCATTGAGAATMTATTGAAAGCTATTACATTGTATATTAATAATATGTAAAAAGTTATTACGTTCTTATATTGATAATGTATAAAAAAATTATAGAAAATTTTCAATCAATAGGCCTCATAAGCACTTTGTCACATTGACATAAACCATAAGTATCAATTTTTCCTCTGGTTTGCAGATAGCTGTAGACAGCAATAAGATCCCACCCTTCACCCTTTCCAGGATGAAGAAGCCTGTCTGCCTTCCTCATAAGCCACAAGCCCCAGCCCCCAGCAGCTTGGTGGCCCTGCACCTCCMAGGCTGGGCCYAYTCCAGTCCTTCTTCTACCAGCAAGGCCAGAAGTTGTCGTGGCGATCCAGATGTTGTCTCACAGCTGGCCAGCCTGGCAAGAAGGGTTCCCTTCCACAGGATCTGCACCAGCGCCTGGATCACTTCTGCATGTGGAAGGGGCTGCCTTCCACTACGGCTTCAACTCCAGCTACCTGCGGAAGGTCGTGTCCTACTGGAGGAATCAGTTTGACTGGCACAAGCAAGTGCAAGTGCTGAACAAATACCCCCACTTCCACACTACCATTGAAGGTGAGAGGATCTCTGTTGCTTGAACAGGTCTCGCTCAGAAATGCACAATGAGATGGGGGTGGGGGCTCTATTATTAATAACCTTAAAGGACTTAAGACCATTAYGCAGTGACAATAAGATTAGATCTGCTTCAAGATGGGCTTCATCTGGCTCTGAACCCGTACTAACTAACAATGAGATGCTCTTCAGTGATTGCCTTGAAGCCATCCTTGAAAATTGCAAAATTTAGCCAGACTGATGCTGAAACATCCCCCACCATCACCAGCAGTTCAGCCAGGTGAGGTTAGTCAGACTTTACAAAATGATCTCTAGACAGGATAGCCAGACTTCACTTAAGTGATCTCTAGATTAGGCTTCTATCATGCACTGACTTTTTCATGTTTCTTTTTTAATCACCCACATAATTTTTATAATGKTTTTGCATGTGTGTTACCCACAATAGACTATTCATTCAAGTGCAGCTCTGCTTATATGGTAGAGAGACTTTGGGAGCAGTTTCTCAGGAGATAGATGCTCATCTCCAGTGACCCCAGTATCTGGCACCAGGGTCAATATCTCTATATAAAAGATGAGACACAGATACAGTACCAGGCTTCTACTTTCAGCCAGGCATTTTCAAACCAGTCCAGTTGTGGGACTTCTGCTCCAGATCCAATGAAAAGGCTCTGTTGGAATTGCAGTTTTTGGAGTAACACCTCAGCCATCCCTGGCTTCCCTGGGTTTCACTGCAGTTTGTGAATGCAGATGCCTGGCTCTTCACTCAGGCCCATGTGAATGAGGCTCTGGGGCTGGCTGTGGAGAAATCACATCTGCTGTCACTTTCCAGTGAATTTCTTTCATCTTGTGTTCAGTTTCTTTCCAAGCAGCAAGGCAGAGCAGCATTGCACAAAGTGYGTTCCCGCAGCCCCTCACTCACATGGCTCTGTCAGGTGTCACTCTGGCCAGGGGAGGAGCACTAGGACAAACAGGTSTCCTGTGTTTCTTTCCACCTGCAGGGTTTGATGCCATTGCAGCTGCTCGRATATTTCATAAGCTAATGAACAGATTGGGCTTCAAGGAGTACTATTTACAGGGAGGAGACTGGGSATCTYRYATYACCWCAAWCATGGCCCAGATGCTGCCAYAGTAAGTAGTAAAGGAAATCAGTGYAGAAATGYGACCTCCARTTCCTACCCTACCTTGTCTCCATTGTCCTACCTTGTGTTGTCTTTTCTTCTCATCTCCTTCTGCTTTGTTTCTTTTGGGGACAACCACACCCTGCATATTCATTTGCATTCATATGCTTTGTATTGATAGTGGCAGAGTTCTCATGCTTTCTAATTTTCACTGCTGTTAGGCTTCTCTCACTCTCTGTAGAAGTAAACGCTGCTGTATTTTGATTTGAGATCTCAAGGAGACAGATCATCATTCTAAATGAGGAAGAATAAATTTTAAAGCTGCAGAGTGAAACAGAAGAGAGGAGTTCAGCCTTTCAGCAGCTGAACACACAAAGTACAGAACTTTCCTATGTAAAATGCAGGGTTAAGACTGATCAGCGAAAACGCACAGTACCTTCCTCAGGAGAGCATCACAGCTCGTTTAGCATTTAATACTAAASAGGCATTTAATTCTTTGCAGGCACCACAGCCACACTTGGGTCAAAGAATAGATGAAGTGGAACCAAAGCTTCTTGCACAAGACATCRTGCAGTTTGTCTGAAAAGTGGAACAGCTKTGAGSCTGCAGTGGAAACACTTGCGTAGAATGGAAGCAAGTTGTTCTATCACCCACAGAACTTTTATTCTGAAGGATTAAACAAGTGCATTGTAGTAAGATATAAAAATTAGCAATTTATTTGGATAATAATTACAGTATTATACCTACTAATCAATCTCTAAATACTTTCATTAAAAATAAATCCAGAAACCCCCACCAAAACCCAATAGCATTTTGTGTTCTTTTATTCCAAGCACCATATCGTTGCTGCGTTCTTAGTTCAAGTATAATAGAATATGTAAACAGTTTATTGCAGKGACATTGCACTCATATGAGGAAGAGAGGTGAAAGGAACTGGCTAAGGCTTCTGTTCAAAAGYTTCTTTAAAGACTTGGACACTAGCTTCTTAAGCACGTGTTACAAGCATCTTTGGGGGAAGTGTAAAGAGTTTTGATCTCCTGAGCACAAACACTCCTACATTCAAGTTATATTTCATTCAAGAGACTGGGATTTCATKTTCAAGTGGGCAGCTGCACATAAGGCAGCTTTCTTCACTAATGATTTTTCCCCTTAGAATGAGCTTAAGRAGCAGCTACTGCTCATTGTAAATAGTTATTAATGGATAATCCAGCTGTGTTCTCCAAGCTGAAAAATATAAAATTATATTCTCCTACATCTGTCATCCCATTCCATTCCAAAAAATCACTTAAAATACACACCAAGTGTAGAGGGTTACTACAACCTTTACCCTCTTTATAAAGGATTTTTACTACCCCATTGTGCATTTTTGACTAGTAACAGCAAGTATCCTCACTACGAGTAGGCTCACGTTTATCTTCAAATGGGATGGAGTTGTTAAGCTAGAAAAAGCTGATTACAGCACAGACAAGTGCCTAGCTGACTGAAGACAACTCCAGCAGATATCTAGTTCTAACACATTGTGCTCTCAGGGCTTCTCTCCCTGTCCTGTTCTGCAGTAGACACCAGCCCAGAAGAACAGCCTCAAGTTCTGCTTCCAAGTGATAGAATGCGACTAAGAACAGGAATTTGACACGTAAAGATAGTGCTGAACTTAATCGCATTCTCCTGACTTCTACACATTTGAGAAACGTTTAAGTCAAAGACWAAGTTTCTTCTTTAAGTGAGAGCARTGTACCATATTGGGGCAGCACTCTTAACTTTCTCTGAAGAGGGTGAGAGTAGAAACTGCTTAATCTTATCTGTGTATCTAACCGATTGTCAGGGCTGTTAAACTAAAGATTAGTAACAATAAAAGAAATTGCATATTGCTACCCTGCCTCCACAGAATTGATCTATTTCAGTCTCCAGGACAGCACTAGGTACTAGATTTTCCAGTTGCTGAGAAGTCTTACTTGGGAATGTTAAGGAACAGAAAGTGAGTTATGGGGAAGTGTTATTTTATCAAATAAATGGGCAAGTGCTTAAATACTCAAGAGGGGCACGCATCAMATCAGTTGAGGCGGTGCCGGGAGCTGCAGCTGCTGCTTGCAGGGCTGCAGGGGGCAGCCCTGGAAGCGGCTCTGCTGGTCCCCAGCCCGGTCCCAGCAGCCCTGGTGGGGCCCTCTGCAGAGGAACTGACTTTGTCCCACCCCATTCTCTACTAGCCAGAAAGAAATCTCTCTTCCACAACAATATTACCTGGTCCCACTCCAGTTTTGCTGCCTGGTTTTCTTGCTATGGAAAGCCTTTTAAGGACTGCAGAACATCTTCCTCACGGAAAGTTATTTTGTTGCAAGTAAATTCACCTAAATAGCCTGTGGGTAACGTTGCAAAGGCAGGGTCAGAAAATAGCCAAATTAATTTCAGGAGAAAATAATATGTATCTAGCATTTGTCAGTTCACCAAGCACACAGCAGGGGAGTTTTGCTCCCCTTACATTAGTTCATCCCGTGTCAGAGAYCAAGTCCCAAAAGAATCACTGGACTTGTGTGCAACTGTGCCTTAAAGTGGATTTGCCTTCGACAACAACTCAGGAAATATGGATGACAGATGAGCACTGCCAAGTTACAGGAAGACAGTAGACACCATGGAAACAAAAAATTCATGGTTTGACGTGGTTTGAAAATYCATGATTACATTTGCTAAATTAACACTTAAAGAAAAGAAAAAGGTAATCAATATTCCAATTAAACTTCTGTGGAAACCATTCATTCACTAAAGCCTTTGAGGGTCACTGGTGCTTGGAACCAGACATAATCCTCCCAAGCAGGCRCCATGTGCTGTGGAGGCGAGGCACTGAGCTGGAGGTCTCCATCACAGGACAACTTAACAGTCAGCTTCCTCCCTCGGGTTGGCACTTTGTAGTTGAGCTTGGGCCGGAACCACTCAACACCGCAGTCACGGTGTCCCTGGACCAGGACAAGAGTGCCTGTGACAGGGAGGGCCTTAAGTTCACTGAAGACATCTGCAACAAACAGGCGGTGAAAGAGCTGGCGAACACAGGGCGCAGTCTGGAGGCTCTCCTCAGCAGYGCCCTCACAGAACTCTTCCAGGTTCAGCTCATATAGCTCCTTGGGGTTCATGACATTGCCTCCAAGCAGGAAAAGAACCCGAGGAACCAGTGTCAAACTGAACATGACTTCCAGGTGCTGGAACAATCCGTCCAGCTCGGTCAGCACCTGCTGGCACTTTCTGCTTGCCAGGCCCASGGAGAGCGGCTTCTCAATTCCATCTCCATCCTGGAAAAGAAAAATTCAGATGAGTACATTTAGTTACGAAAACATATTTTGTTATATACTCTGCAGAAGGTATGGTCCATACCATTCCAGAGAGTCAAGGAACAAGAGGTTTGTGTTCCTTTTGAGAGCTATAGGTACCCACACGGAGAAGATTTAGAAGCAGCACATCTCTCCAAATCAGAAGATGTAAGAGGAACACAAAAGCACTCATTTTGCTACTCAGTTTGAATCTCAATCACGCTACTAATTCCTCTTGGAATTCACCAGACGTTTCTTCAAAGATCAGCCATCACTCTAAAACACTCAGCATTAATTTTTTAATGCTTAAAGGGTTTCGCGTAACAAACAAAGCAGTGACACTCTTTGAGTGAAGAGTAGGAAACAATTAGTTAAGAGCAATTTTTCGAGACCTTCAGCAGCCTGAACTTAACGTTGCCTTTATCTCGTTTTTAAAGGAAAAGGTAAGATTTGGGGACGCAGCTACAACAAGCTCTTTAAAATCAGCAACACATTACTGGGCAAGTCACCGAGCGATAACACGAGCTCACAAGCAAAACCTAAACGCCACGGCGGCCGCCGTGCCTCACCTGGGCCGCCCGCCGGCAGAAGTAGCTGAGCTGCTCGTAAGGCAGCGGGAGCTGGTTCCTCTGGTGCAGGACGTGCTTCAGGAGCTCGCAGGCGAAGCGGTAGCCGCTGCCCCGGCACACGGCTCCCGGGAACGCCACGGCCACGGCGGGGCTGCCCGGCATCGGCCTGCTCCGGTGGGGCCTCATGCCGCCGCCACGCTCCGGGCCCGCCAGCGCCTGGGAACGGCAGAGCGGTGACGCGCCGCCCCAACGGCCGCCGCAGGTTTAAATGCCGCCGCCGCCGCGGAGCCTCACGGGAGCGGCGCACGAGCAGCGCCGCGCGCCCTCCGGCGGCGGAGGAGGAGCCGCGATTGGTGGGCGCGGCGGGAGGCGGGGCCTTCGTGTAGCCCCCGCCTCCGGGGGGAGGGGCCGTGGTCAAACGGGCGTGGGCCGCCCCCCGGTGCCGGGGCTGCCCCGCTGAAGCGCTGCCGGGAGATACGGCCGCTTCTTGCAGGACTATCCGGGGAGGGCCGCAGGAATCRGCTCCGCCGGCCTCCGCCCCGCTCCCGGCAGTCCTGCCGGCTCCGGTGTTTGGCGGAGGAAATGCCTTGGCACTGCCGCGGGGAGGCGGAGTCGGGGAGGCGTGCAGGGAGTGCCGTGTTTGGAAACATTGCGCCTGCCGCCCCATTGGGTGCTGCCTCCAGCACACGGCGAGGAGGGGGCGGGATTGCGAGAGGAGCGGCTCCGAGGCTGCTTTATGGGAACGGCKGCCGCTCGTGCACAACGCCCCAGAGGGTGTCAGTTGTAAACAAACGTTGATCCCAGCGTCGCCCTAAGCAGGGGATGCGGCGAAGAAAGACAGGGAGCGGTGGCCGTGGGACTGGAGAGTGGGAATACACTTAGTGAGGGGATGCGGCGCACAGCCGGAGGAGCTTTTGCTGTTCCCGCCGGCCCCCGGTCGAAGCTTAATGTGTCCTTTGGGATCGCGCTGTACCGGGCTGCTGCCTCTGCGTAGTCATGAGGTACCTCCAGTGCCAAAGAGCTTTGAAACTGCTCCAATTTCCCGAACCAGTCGGACTGATGGCTTGATGACRATGACCAGGGAACCAGGGGCAGTGAACTGCCAAAGGAGAAACCCGCGGGCGTCCGCAGATCCCGGTGAGCAGGGCCCGGCGAGCGGCGGCATCCCGCGCATTGTTCGCCGCGGCCGGCAGGGGGCGCCCCCTCCCTCGGACTCCAACTCCCGTCCGCCCCCGCCGATGGAACCCGTACGGGAGCGAGCGGGTCGCGTCGCGGGGCACGCCGGGAGGTGTAGTTTCGAGTGGGCGGCGCGCGGTGCGTTCTCGGCATTGTAGGCGGGCGGGACTCGCTTTCCCGGGGCGCCGCGCGGCGGTCGGTGACGCCGGGGCCGAAGCCGGGCCGGGCCGGCGGGGCTAGGCAGGGAGCGGAGCGGGCGCTGCAGCGGTGCGGCGGGGCCGCGCTGTCCGCCATGGACTCGCGGGTGTCGGAGCTGTTCGGGGGCTGCTGCCGCCCGGCAGCCGGCGGGGCAGGAGCAGCGCTGCGCGGGCGCGGGGTTGCCGCGCCCGGCGGCGGCAGCGGCACCAAGGCGAAGAAGAAGAACGGGCGGAGCCGCGGAGGGAAGGCCAACAACCCACCGTACCTGCCGCCCGAGGTGAGCTCCGGTCCCGTCATCCGCGGAGGGAGCGGGGCCAGGCCCCGGGGCGGGGGGGCTCTGCTGCTGGGGGTCGGAGGGGCCGGAGGGCCGGTGCATTCCCCCCGGGCGGGTCGGTGCCACGGCCGAACCCCGCAGGTTGGGCGGCGGGTCCGGCTGGAGGTGCTGGCGGTGCTTGTGCGGGGCCGTGCCGGGGTCGGGCTGACAGCAGCCGTAGGAGCAGTCCTGCAGCCCCGGGAGCGGTGTGCCCGCCTGCCCCGGGCTCTCCTCCGGGCCGTGCTCGTGTCCCCGGTSCCAGCGAGTTCTCTGTGGACCCCACTGCCTGGCGTCCGTCTGTGGGCGCCTGCGAACGAAAGAGCTTTGGAAACAAGGCTTTGCTCGCCTCCCGTTAGCATCTCTCTCCCCCTGAAAGACGATCTGGTGGGTGTGAGTCCCTTTCCAGCTGCCAGACTCAGCAGTGACTGCCTTCCCAGTCAATTTGACAACTGTTTTCTTATATTGTTACATTGTACGTGTGAGGCACTTGCCTCTTACAGCGGGAAGAAGTGGCATTGGCAGTACTCGGGTGTGTGGTCAGCTCTCTCATAGAACTGTCAATGTGGAGAGAGTTAAGTTGGCTGGGACTCAATTGCTCGACCCCAKTCAGGGAGCTCTCGGTAAAATACGTAAGAGCCCGTGCTGGGCGGGCACAGTTCCTTCACAAGGCACGGCTGTGACTCTGGGCAAGATGAGAAAACAGCGTTTTGCTACTCTTAGACSTTCATGGGCAGGACTGTGCCCTGAACCCGCAGTTTCGTTCTTGTTCCTTTCACCTGGAGGCTGGACAGCCCCTTGTGGTTTCAACACAGCTTCCTGTCCCTGGTTATCCTGTGCAGTGTGTGCCCCAGCAAGTCTAGCTTTGTTGCTTTTCTAGTCTTAAGTGCCTTGAAGGAGACCCTTCCCCTTATTGAGACGGTGCAGTAGGTGAATGGGTTTTTCATAGAACTGGAAAACTGGTACATGGCAAGAAAGGAAAACCTTCCACAAGTACCCTTCTCTTATGGCATAGCTCTGCTGCCAGAGAGCTGAGCTGACAATTGAGAACTTCTGTTGGCCATTTGCCACTGTAAGCACYGCTGTGGTTAAGAGCTGAGCTGGAAGGCAAGGAGAGGGCGGTTGCCTCTCCTGACATGCAAATAAGTGTCCAGAGGAAAAGGAACTGCTTGCTGTTGCTAGCCCCATTTAGTCTGTCAGAGTGTGTGGCTTCCTGTGGGCTGCAGCTCTTTCTCAATGGTCCTTATACAGGATCAATGGGAAACTTACTTCAGTATTGTCTAGACTTTCGTTTTGGAAAGCTGCAGCCTGTTGTGGTTGAAGTGAGCTTGATCAGTTTCTGTTAAAACCATGTCTGGCTTCAGCTCTTCCTGAGAAAGTTCTTCTGAGCAAATTGTATATAGAAAGTCCCAGTCAGGTCTGGTTGTCCAGAACTTTCCAGCCAGTGACTAGCTGGCAAAAGAGTCATTACCTCGCTTCCTTATGTCTGCAGATACATAACGATACAGAAGAGAGTCAATGAAAAAACAATTGAGTGAGGGAGAGTATCGTTGAGCAGGAGAGGAGGGAGAAACTTCTGTTCCCGGGCCCCCGTTTCTGTACATATTGGACAGATGGAAGCTGCTGGATAGTGTGGGAGTAGGATGCTGTGGGTGGCGTTTTGGATGGGTGAGGGGGGAGACTTTAAATCGTATGCTGGCCTGGACCTTTTTGAAACTGGAACTCTCTCTGTAACTGTTAGCCTGGCCCTATTCTTTACTGTTCAGAAAAAAACTCCCCCCAGACAGTATTACCCCTGTGTCCTTCTCTAGTTTTGTCCTACAGTGTTCATGATGTGGGATGCAAACAGCACCAACAAACTGTAAGGAAAGTTCTAGTTGAGTGTAGAAAAGAATGGCAGAAGGCTGGGACCTAAGTCCCAGTGTCTCTTTCAGACACTTCCCCTCTCTCTGAAATCCTCAGCACCAGCTTCAGAATATCTGGGCAGCTGGTGCCTGTAGAAGTCCCTGTGGGTACAGCATCTAACTCTTTTATCTTGTTTCATTCTCTGACCAGGCAGAAGATGGAAACATCGAATACAAGGTGAGTCTTTTGARTCAGCAGAAGTTTTACCTTTGTGAAACCCTTTCTCACCTGTCCCATGGCATTTGTTCAGACAGTAAAACAGACTGTGCTTTCTAGAGGTGGGTCAGAGTTGGGAGCATTGCTTCACAGAGTTGGGAGTTGCTGGCTTGGGCAATAGGATTGCCTTTGCATTGAGGCTGTGACTAGAACTACCCCTCTGTTAAACAGCTAAAGCTGGTGAACCCCTCGCAATATCGCTTTGAGCACCTGGTGACACAGATGAAGTGGCGGCTACAGGAGGGCCGAGGTGAGGCCGTCTATCAGATCGGCGTGGAGGACAATGGGCTGTTGGTGGGCCTCTCAGAGGAGGAGATGCGAGCCTCGCTCAAGACACTGCGCCGCATGGCAGAGAAGTATGTGCTCCTTCTCATCTGCAGGGCCTAGGAGCATGAACAGCCTGCAGTAGAGAGTTCCCTCCCTACAGTCCCCTGAGCAGACATCCTACAGAGCCTCTGTATGACTGACGTTCCTTCAGTCCTGAGGCTCTGGAAACATGAGGAAGGTTATCAGGCTTTTGTCTGGAAGCTCCTTCCCTGCTATCCCCAGCTTTCATCCCATTCACTTTGTCAGCTGTTTTTGTGGAGGTGCAAGAGCTGTCAAGTACAAGTGTGTCTCACTCCTTCCTTTTGTCTTTGTGGCAGGGTCGGGGCTGACATTACAGTGCTTCGGGAGAGGGAGGTCGATTAYGACAGTGATGTTCCAAGGAAGATAACGGAGGTGCTTGTCCGAAAGGTGCCTGACAACCAGCAGGTAGGGACCTGTGATTTGGCTGTCCTCTCCTGCTGGAGACTTAGAGGCCTCATATGAGCTGCTTCCTTATGGGATTGGAGCCCAAACCCTAGAGGTGCTTTGTCATAGATTGGCCCATATCAGATGCTTTAAAGGGCTGCCAGAGGGAGGCGTGATGATAATGCTTCTTATCTCCAAGATAAGAGCAATTGAGGCAGATGTCAGTGTGGGAGATTGACTGGATCAGAGGTGAAAAATTATTTCACTTCTATGGCAGTGGTTCTGATGCAGGCCAGTGTGCAAACAAGGAAGGATTTAGAGGTCTGCTGCAACAAATGGCCTTTTTTGTGGTATCAAAGCCTGGTGTGTCACATCTTCACTATAGARAGTGTATCATGACTGCTGGGTAGTAGTTTGCTGGGAGGGAGCAGAATGTGAGCAAGATTAAACTGTGCAGTGTCCCTCATGTAGGGAAGTTCTCTGATGTGCATCTCTGCCATGTAGTGCTCATGCATTCAGTACAGTGCTTAAGTTTCATGATTTTTTTGTTCTTTTTCCTATAGTTCTTAGACCTTCGAGTAGCTGTCCTAGGGAATGTAGACTCAGGGAAGTCAACACTCTTGGGTGTCTTAACRCAAGGAGAGCTGGACAATGGGCGGGGCAGAGCACGCCTCAACCTCTTCCGACATCTCCATGAAATCCAGTCAGGAAGAACATCA